AGCCATGTGATGTGAGTATCAGTCACATGGAGGCAGTGCTTAAAAGCCTGAATTTTGCCTGAAACTCTCAGACTGAAGAAGTCTCTTGGAGGAGCGACGAAACGTTTCATTAGAGAAGAACCCGTCCAGAAGACCTATACAATTTTTTTCTTTTTTTTAAATCAATGATTAAATATTCTTTAATCTTATTAATGAATKAATTAAGCCTAAACATTTCTAACCTTGTGCAGTCTTCTGTCAGCCTAAAGTAAAAAGGACGTCGAGTAAAAACACTCATCTCCTCAATTATTTCTAAAAATATTAAAACTACGAGCTGCATTTCTGGCTCCATTCGGAAACATATCATGTACTTCACGTATCAACGTATCACTATGGTAACGGCGCAGCACGTGGCCATGTAAACATACGTCATCCATAGGCTAGACCCGTCCGATATCACAGCAGTTTCTGCAGCTGACAAGAGCAGCCAAGAGGCCCACGTCGAGTACTGCCCGACGTAGAGCGGTCCACGTCGGATGCAACCCCTGGATTGAGACACAGCCTACAGGAGTCTGGGGTGGTGAACCGGCAGTGACCCAGAAGTGACTCAACACGAAAAAGTTCATGAGTAAAATGGAAATTTACACATCAATAACTCTAAATTATTTATTTTACTTATCACAAAACATTTATATGTTTTTTCCGAAACATTTATAACGTTTTATTTAGTTATTTTATTTATTTGAAAAAAATTTTTGTGTACAAAAAACTAGTGGTGGGGTGGCGCTCTAGCGCCCCCAATTGACCAGCCGCCACTGCTCGGGACAAAAATAGAGCTGAAAGCGAGCCGCATTAGCTCACAGCTCCTGGGTGATGAAACTCATCAAACTCAGAACGTCTCTGAATTATTTAGTGAATTAATTCTGAATTAATTATCTGGTGAGTGTGACATGCTCTTGCTCTCAGTAAATAAAACAAAGCCACTTTCTTTATTTCATCCATCATTTCACATACTCTCTAAGCGCTTGATCTGCGTGATGCGCATCAAGAGCAGTTTTGACAAGCGTCTGACATCAAAGTACACAATCATCCAACTTGAAGCATGGACACGTTTTTGATGCTCACTACATCTACACGTTTTGATGCGGTTCTTTTGAGAAGAATACAGTAAACAAGGCTGACATTTTTCCATTTACCATGTTTGCATGAATCACCAAGTTCACACAGATCATTAAAAATAAAGTTTAACAGAGACACACATAGCTGAACAGAACAACCTCTCTCCCTCTCTCACACACACACACCTTAACACTGACATTGTTTTGTGTGTGTGTGTGTGTGTGGGGTGGGGGGAGCCAAGAACATTAGGTAGTAAAAATAAATAGATTGAAAGACAAAAAAAATCTGTTTGATCATAAAATAAAAACTTAAAAAGGAAGTTGTATTGAGTGACAATTCTTGTTCATGCACACTTCAGTAGTTCATAATTTCCGACTGCATGAGTTGTATTCATTCAGGCACTTAAACGATTTACAGAACAAGCTTTTTTTAAACTCAGAACATGAATTATTTTTTAACTTTTGTGATTAAAAACATTGATTTGAATCTCATTTTCGAAGCTGTTCTGTAAGTAACATTCAAACAAATAATGCATTTAGCAACTTCTGATCAATCCATATCATTTTCAGACTTAAAACAATGAACAGATGTAATCCCTGCCAACTTCTGGTAAAACKACACCTACTTCCGGTTTAGGCCCCGCCCACTCCGAGTACAGAAACAGATAATTTAGATGGTTGAACAGATACAGATACAGATAGTGCTGTACTCGCTCATCCCTACAGCTCGCAGATCCTGGAGTGCTGAAAGTAACCGAACAAACTGCCTCTAAATCAACTGGTGAATTAATTATCTGCTGTGCGCAACGTTCGCTTGCTCTTTAGTAAATAAAGCAAAGCCATTTTCTTTATTTTATCTTTATTTCATCCGCCGAAACACAGTCCAGAAAAAAAACCAAGACGCTCCTCCCTCTTCAGATGCGTGTCTAGTCTGTGTCCCGGTCTGAACATAATGAGTCCAACTGGTGGCGTTGGGCACTTTTTGCTGCTCAAAACACATTTGGTGTGAACGTAMCATTAGTCTTTTCTTSATAAACGTGTGAGCTTGGCCCATTTCGTGCATATGTGACCATTTCTAACCAAGAAATTATCTATTATGTATGTCTCACACTCAATGCACGAGAATTGGCAGCTCTGCTTAAGTACTGACACTGTTTGACACAAACATTACTTTCACATTTTTGTGGAATCTCAGTTATGCAGGACATGAAAATTGAAAGCAAACAGACAAAGCAACTGGATTTCTGTTCTGTAGTTGAAGATGTGAAGTTACAAGATTTAATTAATCTTGCGTGGCTGTGGGGAGTCGTCCTGCGACAGGCGGGTTGCCGGTTCAACCCCCCGTCCCAGGGCAGCTGTTGCTACAATGTAGCTTACCATCATCTGTGTGTGAATGTGTGTAATGGGAGCATGACTGTAGTGCSAAGCCCTGTGGAGTCTGATGGGACTTGATAAAGCGCTATATAAGTTCAGGGCATTTACCTGTCTAAATATTGGACCGCTCCTTTCCMCTTTCAGGCTGAAGCCTGCTGGAGTCTCATGTCCAACATCAGACCTGGGAAACTGTAAGTGTGGTTTTTTTTTATTTGATTCATGACAACAAAGCAGCAACATTCAACCTTCTTCAAACTGTCACAACAAAATGTCAAGAAATTATTAGATGTTGGATCAATAACGGCAGCTGGATTGTGTTTGTTCTCRRCATCAGATTCCTGTCAGCTCACAATTGACACAAGCACAGTGAGCAGAAAACTGAAARTGTCTGACAACAACAGGAAGGTGATACGTGTGTTGAGAGAGCAACCATACTTAGATCATCCTGACAGATTTGATTTTCCTCAGTTTCTGTGTAGAACTGGTCTGACTGGTCGCTGCTACTGGGAGGTCGAGTGGCGAGGAAGAGTTGATATATCAGTGAGTTACAGAGGAATCAGAAGAAGAGGAGGCAGTGATGACTGTCTATTTGGTTGTAATGATCAGTCCTGGAAACTGGAGTGCTCTGAAGACGGCTACGTTGCCTGTCACAACAACAGGAAAACCCACATCCCTTCCTCGTCCTCCTGTGCTTCCAGCAGAGTAGCTGTCGAACTGAATTATCCTGCTGGCATTTTGTCCTTCTACGAAATCTCTGGCTCACAGATCCACCTCCACACCTACAACACCACATTCACTCAAACTCCTTATCCTGGATTTGGAGTCTGGTTTGGTTCAGTTAGTTTATTAAAGTTTTGTTGCTGAGTTTGATGTTTGAGGTCTCCTCCTGTCACAGAATCCCTCTCACAGGTTTTTGGATTCATGGATTCAATCTGTTTCTTGTTTAAATTCTTCTAAATGACTCCATGGAAACTTCTTCCTTTTCCGGTCCTTTAAAGATGGAAGCTGGGTTTCATCCAGGTTCCAAATGTTGAAGTGAAGTGATCAGGATGTTGTGTTGCATCCTGGCAGCTGCAGTTAGTTTTCTGTGCTTGTGAAAACTGTGAGGTAAGAGAGGAATCACTGAGCTGGCAATCAGACAAGATTAATTTACAAACTGTGGCCCCAATTAAAAATCAGGCAACTTAAATTTATATCTCAGCCTTAGTTAAATGAGGCCAACCGTGTAGCCAGAAGGCAATGCAGAAAATTGGAGCACAAATTGAAAAATGACAAACGACATGTTTCTTTTATTAAGTTAAAAACGTGTTAGGAATTTTATGTTAAAATTCACTGTAAAATCAGAGAAAAAAAAACATTTTCCCCAAATTATTGCATCAAACTTTCATAATTCCTGTGTTTTTTTAAAGCCATTAATTGTATTTTAAACATGCCTTATCCTCATTCTACAGTTGACCCATCTGTCTTTGTCCCTTGCTAAGTTGTCTTCGTTAATTTTAAACCCGTTTCTCTTATATTTTTAAGGACATGTTGGTCATAGAAATCCAACAGATTTTCCTGCTGACCCCTGCATCCTTTTTTAAAGAAGTTTGAACCTCTGTTGTAACATCTATTTTTGCTATCATGAATATAATGATTGTGGTCCCAAAGTGGATTTACAACTGCATGTTTAAAAACAAAATAAAAAAACCTGGACTTGACCCTTAGTTTGTTTGAATTTCAGACCAATCTTAAAACTTTAAACCATTTTAAATTCTTGGAAACAATAGTTTTTAAGATTCGAGATTCAAAGTGTTTATTGTCAAATACACTGATGAAAACATGTTTCCCTGAGCAATGAAATTCTTACTTTGCGGACCATTCTGAATGCCAGGAGTACACCACAWGAAAAAGAATAAACAAAGTGTATTTTACCCCCACTGTGAAGGGATAACTCCGCCCCAAGGCAAAATTTAAAAATGCCTACAGTGGACATTACAGGAGAGAGGAGGGGGGCTGTGGGGGAGGAGGGGGGGAGTTGAGCGAGGAGGTGTGGCAAGGATGAGAGAACGTGGCAGCTAGCTTATTTTGACAAGCTAACATTTCTGATCGTTCTAAACAAATTATGTTTTGTAAAAAGTAAAGTTTCATGACACACACAATGGGCCTCATGCAAGAAC